CAGCCCTGCCAGTGCCTCTCACTCCCCACCCCCAGCCCTGCTGCCATGGTTATGGGGCCAGGGACCACACAGCAGTGCCCAAGCCTGTGGGAGGCAGCGGCTGCTGCAGCAGTGTGGAGCCCGGCTCCCCCGCCTCCCTGGGTGGCACAGCCAGGGCGGGTTGCGGTCTGCCCACTGCGGTCTCAGGCTCCCTGCCCTGCTCACCTTCCTCCAGAGCCTTCACAGCACAGCAAGAAGAACCCAGCACAGCAGCGCAGAGCGAAACTGGGCAGGGAAGCTTGATGCCATCACCACAAGCCCTGCGCCACCATGATGAGGCACCTGCTGCCCACCTGGCAGCAGTGCAGAACACAACTCCGTGCCACCATTCCCACTGCTGCTGGGTGGGCAGGACGTGCTTCACCAGGGTGGCGCAGGGCTCACAGTGTTTGCAGCGAGTTTCCCCGCCCCTCTCTGCCCTGCTGTGCCGAGTCTTCCTACTGGGCTGTAGAGGCCACAGAGGGATGGCATCAGGGCAGGGAACCTGAGCCCACAATGGGCAGCCTGCATCTGCCCCAGCCCCATGCACAAATCTGGGGGGACAAGTGTCCCCCATACCCTCTGTGGGGGTATGCACAGCAGCGGGGAGCCAGCCTGCCCCACTGCCCCTCCAGATGAGCCATCTGCAGCTCCATCCCTCTCACTGCCTGGGCCCTGCAGCCATGCATCCAGGCCCCAAGCCCCATGCACCCCCTGACTGGGCAACAGCCCCACCCTTGCCCAAATCCCTCCCTCCCTCCCTCTCTCACTATGGGGGCCTCAATCTCCCACCTCCCTTCCCCCGCCCCCTTACCTGTAGGGAGCTGCTCTCCAAGCTGCCTGGCAGCCATGTTCATGTGTACACACCCACATGCACATGGTGCCCCCTACCGGATCCCCTCCTGCTCCCCCCAGCCCCTTGGAACTCTGTCAGCCTGCAAAGGGAAACACATTGTTTCCCCTGTTTTTCTCCTTTAAAGGAAAAAATCTGGGGTTTTCTCCTTAAAATGAGAAATTCTGAGTTTTACTGTGTTTTTCGGTGGGGAACGGAAACCCAGATCCCTGCTGATAAGATACAAATCTGTTGTTTTCTGTCTTTTTTTCAGGAGAAAAAAGTAAAAAAATTAACTGTAGGGACTTTTGTCTGTCTGTGATCCAGCAGGGGCTGTAAAATGCTGCCTGTTAAGGTCCTTACAACAAGAAGGTGATGGGTGCAGTGCACTGAATTTGGGAGTTCAAATGGAAATTATGATTCAAACTTTCTTTATGGACTGTGGGGGGAAGGGCAGAATTGTGCCAGTGAAGAATGTGATTTGTTCCAGTGTCATACCTAGTTTTTCAACATCATAGTTTTATAGGCCTCCTTGGAACAGATGCTTTATAACAATGCAATATTATTATTGCTAGGTAGAAGGAATTGAAGACAGTTATTTTGGCTGTTTGAAGATGGAAAACAACATAACTACTATTTCTCGTGAAGAGCTGGAAGAGCTAAGAGAAGCATTCAATAAAATAGGTATGTTTTACATGCAAGAATGTAAGCATCATACCTTTACCAAGTTTATTATATATTTTTTACTCTTAAATGGATTCGGTAAGGTTAAAACCTACGTATATTTTATGAACATGACATGTCTTGCCTGCGTTTCTAATAACACTTAAAAAATGAAAGCTGTATTATTGATTGATTGATTGAATTCATTTGTTCTGTTTGCTTAATTTATACACTTCTTTCAATGTGGACAGTAAAACAGAGTTGCCAGTTTTATTTTTGCTCCTGGGTAGTTTCATTCTTGTGTTTTTGAAGGCTGGACAATATTACGATTTCAAATTCAGTGGCTTTAATCCAAATATATTTCTGCTTTCAGAGTCCAAATTTATTAGGATCTTTTAATTTGGGGACGGGTCTTAGTGAATTAATAATTATTTCTCTTGCACCTAGTTAAGTCCAATTTACATTTTTAAGTAAGATTAACTTAGTGATCCCTGATATTGCATTTATTGAGAGTCAGTCATGTTAATGATTAACTCATTATAATTTCATGTGCTTAACAGGGTCTTTGCTGTTAAGATCTAAAAGCAAACATTACATGCTGAATAATTTCTTTCTGTATTAACTGACCTTCATTTCCAGACTTCAGTATACATGTGATTACTTAAGTTTATATGTTTTTCGCTCTTTGAGTCGTTTTAAATGAGTCTGAAGTGATCCTGACTAAAATACATGTATCCAGTATGAGTAACCCAGAGTTTGTATTGACTCTGTGCTGCACTTCAGAGAGATACACAAGTCTTCATCATAACTGTAGATGACTAATGAGGTTGTAGATTCTATAGTAGGTGGACCCTTCCTCGGTTGACTATAAGCCAGTCTGGTCCCGGAGATCACTGGAATTTACGATATAGGAGATGGGAATATGGAATATGTGGAGGTTCAAGCATATAATAAAAAGAGATTATGCATTTTTCTCTATGTATTGATTTTTGGTCTAGGGCAGTGATTCTCAGCCAAGGTGATTCTCAGATAGGGCCAGAAGGGACATTACAAGGTCATCTAATCCAGCTCCCTACTCAAGGCAGGATCATTCCTGACTAAACAATCTCAGCCAAGTGTCTGTCCAGTCTGCTTTTGAAAATTCCCAGAAACTGGCATTCCATAAATTCTGTGTAGCCTGTTTTATGCTTGATCACCCTTATAGTCATAGATTTCCTCCTAATCTCCAGCCTAAATTTCCCCTGCTGCAGCTTGAAGCCATTGTTCCTAGTCCTGTCCCTTATGGACACAGAGCAAAGTCTGTCTCCGTCCTCTCTCTAACTTCCCTTCAGGTATTTGAAAACTGTATCAATGCTCCCTTGCCACTTTTCTATTCTCCAGACTAATTAACCCTAGTTTTTCAGCCTTTCCTCATAAGTCTTATTTATGAGTCCAGGCCTCTAATAATTTTTGTTGTTCTGTGTTGAACTCTTTCTAATCTGTCTGCATCCTTCTTGAAGTGTGGAAAAGGACTATAAATTTTGACGATAATACTAATATCTGAGACAAATTGCTGGAGCATCCTTTAAAGATTCCAGAATGGCCCATTTTATTACATGGTGCAAAAATCAACAAAAAATAGAATGTATTGGATACACATTCTAAAGATAACTTGGGGTCCCTGCTGGTATCCTTATCACCATAAGGTACACTTCCATACATGTTGTGGGAATGTCCTTTGATTAAATTTCCTAAGGAAAGAAGTTGACAATATATTTGAAATAATGTTGAGGTTTGAGCAGTATTTGAAAACTATGGGATATTACCATATTTATTTTTAATCTAGGATTAAGTTTTTTCTACGAGTCAGCATTGGAGAGGGAAAGCCCTTTGTCAGAGACTTGTTGGGGGGGCAGGTGCAGGTGCTTGCTACAGCCCTGAGCTTAGGTTGGGGCCAGAGTCAGAGTCAGAACCACACCAGCCTCCTGCCCCCACCTCTGCTTGCACTCTGTAGCTTCTATCTGCCTTCCCCCCTCCACCCCTGTTTACTGTTAGGTGAAGCTTGGCTCTGGCTTGGGCTGGATATCCTCCCAGGCACCAAGTTCAGGCAAACTCCATCCCCTGCTTGGCCAATAAGTAGTGCCATCACTGCTGCTTGTCCCAGCAATGGCTGCACTTACATGTGCTGCGCTCTGTTCCTCAGCAGGGAACAGAGCCTGAGCAGCATCTGACTGTAAGTGGTGGGTAGAGAAGGGGAAAAGATTGTGGGTAATGTGTTGTAGGGGAAAGAGGCAGAGATTGTGGACAGTGGGGAGAGACAGACTGTGGGGAGCTGGGGTAGGGGGGCAGGAGGGCTGCAGAAGGAAGAAGTGGGGGGGGCAAGGGGGCTGCCTGACCACCACCCCTCTCCCAGCCACTGCTTTCCCTGCTGTAGAAGTGGGGTAGGGGATGAATTTAAGACAACCCTCTGATAATTAGATTGTATACCTGGAAAAATGATAACAAATATATTAATTTTTTATATAGAGAATCTAATAATTGGGGGGTCATCTTAGATTTAAGTAAATATGATCATATGAAATTGATCTGCTCAGGGCTTGGTGTTTTTAAAAGCAGCCATCAACACACAAAAAATGTTTTAAAGAAATACAAAAGTAAATCATGACATAGTAACAGCAACAGTAGTATTCTAGTCTCTGAACTAGCAGCCAGAAAAAGGGTCATCTTTTGCCAGAGGGGTCTCCTGCTCTAGTCTCAAGAAGTCTGGCCTCCATTTGTAAAACAACTGACTACAGAATATCTCAGGCCCAAAATGCATTTATACACATACTTTTTTGCACTGCGATATGTGCGGGCCGGGAGCGGTCTGAGGCCCTCGGGGGCGCGCGGCAGGCTGTGGCCAGCAGCCCGGACACGCCGGGTCGGGGAATGCAGGCCGGCGGGCTAGAATTAGGCACGGACGCTTAGCGTGCCTGCTGGTGCACATCTTTGGATCAGACCAGGTTAGCTCCATGCTAGCACATGGGGCTTGCAGCACTGCAGGCAGAATCCCCAGGCTATCGAGCCAGGCGGGCTCCATGCCTCCATGTGCAGCTTCCCACTGGGTTGCTGGAAGTTTCATGTGGGTGCACAGAGCTGGTCCAGCCCACTGGTGCGTGAACCAGGAGCCGCATGCCATTGGGCCAGGCAGGCTTTGTGCCTCCATGTGGGGCTTCCAGCACTCCAGTGGGAAGTCACATGTAGAGGCAAGCAGGAGCCCTCCCAGCCCAATTGCGTATGACTCAATGCCTCCATATACGATTTCCTGCCTGACCCGATGGCACGTGGCTCCTGGTCCACATACCATTAGGCTGGGCCCGTCTTCCACATGGGGCTTCCAGCACTGCAGCGGGAAGCTGCATCCAGAGGCATAGAGTTGTGTGCTATTGAGCCAGGTGGGCTTCTGCTTGCCTCCACGTGCGGCTTCCCGCTGGAGTGCTGGAAGCCCCACATGAAGGCGCAAAGCCAGCTGGCCCAGCCCAATGACTCATGGCCCATATCCACCCACAAACCCCAGCGCCCCCCTGCCATCTTCCTGCCAGGTATCCACTTAAATGTAAAACAAACTGATAGTAAAATGGGTATCTTGGACATTTGGGTGAAACAGAAAATACCAAGGGTCAAATTCAGCCCTAGTGCAAGTCTCTGAAACTTCTTTGAAACTGAAATAGGGATATATACTATAACTGTATGACAATATTCTAAAATTGATTGCGAGTTAGAGGAGAATGAATAATAGACCTTGGAGTACATGTTATATTGAATAAAATGCCAAATTTTACTGTTTTACAAGAATTTGTGATTTTGCTGTGGCTTCACTTTGGAAAACTTTAAGAGAGTTTCTGAGGAGTGTGTAGCATGATGGGGTTCTGGCACAATAGAAGTAATAAATAATTGTTTTATTATTATTGAGTTGGTATAAATCAACAGAACTTCATTAATTTCATGATGTGGTGATTTAAAATAGCTGTGGATCAACCCTTATGCATTCCTTCATATTTGGATATATAATACACAGTTTGTTCACTGGGAGAAATGCTGTGTTGCTGTACTGTACCATTTTCTTCCCCTTTTTCTTTCTTCCCTTCCTTCTGTGTTCCTTCCCTTTAGTTATCAACTTGTATTAATCTGTAACACAAACATGAAAAGAACTAACACTTATTTTTCAGATATTGACTGTAGTGGGTATGTAAGCGATTATGAGCTTCAAGATCTCTTTAAAGAAGCAAGCCTTCCCTTGCCTGGCTACAAAGTGCGAGAGATCGTAGAAAAAATTCTATCTGTGACAGATAGCAACAGGGATGGGAAAATCGATTTTGAAGAATTTGTCTCAGTAAGTAATACAGTCTCATCAAGCTGCCCTTTAACACAGAGTTATTTGTTTTTATACCAATATTCTAAATTATTAAATTTTACAATGTCTGATGAGATAATGACTAGACTGTATTTTAAAGAGCATATTGTAATGTACTGTAGGTTTGCCTTACACAAAACATTACCTGCTACTGTGTCTGAACTAAGCATAATTAAATTTCATGTCATAGGACATTTGAGTAGGAAGGGATGTGTCCATGATAACTCAGTCAAGAATATAAGGGGAAGGAGGTAGGCCATTCCTCCAGTAATGTTAAGTGTCTTGACAGGATCATAGGCAGACCTATGTCCTTGGACCAGCACGGCTACAATGTACACCCCTTGAAAAGGTCACAATCCCTGAAAGATTATAAGATTAACACTTGAGGAGTAACAAAATGTGTGCAGACATTCAATGGAAATGTTGTACTTGGCTGCTTTTGGCTCCTTTTGAATCATATTCTTAGTTCTTGTGGAGCCCATTATGTAGTCAAGATCAACTTTAAAGAATTATTTACCAGGCCTGACTGGAAATGTAAGCTTCCAAATTGCCTGAAATCTCTAAGAGGAAAGGTTGGATAGACTAACTTTAGATTTGAATTGCTGGATAATGTTTTGAGAGCAGCTTGTACAGTAATTACAAACTTTTGCTGATTCCTGAATGCAAAGATGGTTATAATAGCAGGATAGTTGATTAACTATTATGCAGATATTGACCACTCCAAAATAAGCTCGTCAAGGAAACTAAAATAATCTTTTTTTATTTCAAATAGTTAGCATAATGCTGAGATGTTGTAGCATGTTATCTTATATCAGCACATAACCTTTTCCAAAGCAACAAATAGGCAGCTGGTGTGCTAGAGTCATGCTATTTTGCCTAGGACTTTCTTTTTGGTGACTGGTGTGTTTTGTTTTGTTTTGTTTTGTTTTGTTTTGTTTTGTTTTGTTTTGTTTTGTTTTGTTGGGGGGGGGGGTTAACTATATTCCTCATGTCTCTGCATCTAGCTGTAGACGGCAGGGACTGCTTCTGTGCATGTTGTCCAGTGCCTGGGCATAATAGGCTCGGATCCATGGCTGCTATTTCTATTTAATAGTAGTAAATGTAATAATATATTTTAAATCGCATAAGATTTGTATCCTGCAGTTATATGATATGGAGTTCTCTCTAGTTTTTGCTGTGCCCTCTGGGTTCCATTTTTGGAAAAGAATATGAAAAGAACCAAGGCAGACAAGGGTCTTTGGGTAAATCTGATATCTTTTATTAAACCAACTCAAATTTTAGTTGGTCTAACAAAATATATCAGATTTACCCAAAGAACCTTGTCTGCCTGTGTCCTTAGACCAACATGGCTACAACCTACACCCCTGTAAAAAGAATCAAAGAATGGTGCTTGACTTCCTTGTCATTATTTCTCAATTGCTATTACTCCCTGAAATATCTCAAACTGAGCAGGACTTGGCTAGTTTAGTAATTGGATGGGTACCACAAAGGAAAATGTAAATAATAGATATCTGAGTTGTATAGCAGTCTTCCTTCTGAGTCATCACTGAACAAATGTGCCAGGGCAGTGCAAAGACCCTAGTATTGGAGACATTGCCTTTCAGGACAGATGTAAAACAAGGTTCCTGATTACTCATGGTCATTTCAGATCCATTTTTTGGTATTTTTTGAGAATAAAGGTACAGACTTGGTATCCCAAGCAACTTCCACTTTGGATAATTATATTAGCTCACTCAGTTCCCCTTGCAGTCTTAGTTAGAAGAAGTATTCTGTTTCTAGTTGTTGCATTATTGTTTTACTTAGCAGGTTCAATTTAGTCCAGATGAACTCAGAGCTAGTTCAGACAATTCACCTTTTTTTTACTTCCTGAAAGGAAGCAGTATATGCCCCTCACCTTCAGGAACTACTGAGTCCTTGAATTGTTTGTGACACAAGATGCCTATACCATTGTGCTGAATCGCTGTGCCATATTTAGGCCTGGTTTTAATAAATATTTAATCTTAAGGGTTCGTGGTGTTCCATGTGTAAGTCACTGGCTGGAGTGTTTATCTGAGCGAATTGCACAGTTTCAGATTGGTTTTTTCCCTTGCTCTTGTAAACACTGTAACTTGAATGCAAAACGATTATTGCTGCTGAAACAATAAACTTTTTGCAATTATCTAGGGTCTTTTGGTGTTTCTACAGGATAATTTAATTTGCCCAACTAACTGAATGATAAACATTTGTCTTGCAGCTTATGCTGTATATTTATCAGATTTATCTGATAATTTTCGTATTTTTGGTAAGATTTGATAATATCCTTCATATTACAAGATTTTTTGGAGTTAGTATTGTATGACTTGTGCACTGAGAAATAAATCAACTCCCTCTCTCTCTTTTTGTTTTTTTTATCCACCAAAAAATCTATTAAAAGATCTGTATATTGTTGTGAATATATTTGAATAAGTTACATAACTTTGTAAGGGTAAAACCTTATCGAGTCATCCAGCCAACAGACTTCCATAATGTAGTAGATGAATAGTAACTAAATCTACCTTGATGGTATTGATATGGTATTCTTTTAGGAAAGGGAATCAAAATAGTTATCAAAACCCAGGAATTGGGTGAGCTTAATGTTAAATAGTCCTTGTAAATTTACATTCAGCGAGGAAAAGCTTTCTCTTCTATGTTCTATTGCAGATTACTCAGGAACTGAAAAGTAAAGATGTTAGCAAATCATTCCGAAAATCAATAAACAAGAAACAGGGTATTACAGCAATTGGAGGAACTTCACCAATTTCCAGTGAGGGGACCCAGCATTCTTATTCAGGTAAAAAAAACAAAAAAAAACCCCCAAGAAAAAAACAAATCTGTGTCTTTTGCAATAGGAAGAAAGAAGCAAAATTACATTCTAAAAAATGTTCTCTAAAGCAAACCAGCAGAGGTAGCAGGACTCTTTACTCTGCTATGTAAAGAGCCATTGTATGTGTTTAGTTTTCTTGTTTATGGTTTCAGGCTGCACCAGGAAGAAAGTCTGAATTTTTGCCAGAGCAGAAAATGAAAACAGAACTCTGGTTACAAGTAAAAATTAATGAATAACCATCATTAATGTAATTTTGTGGAATGTTTCAGTAACTAATCTGTGATTATTTTGAAAATCTACTTTAATTATGTCGGGGGGGGTTTAAATGTTGTGTTCATGTAATATTTAGAAAAGAGAATCCCCATTTTCTTTTCTGTGGTGCAGACCTAGAATTAAAAATAGTTGATGGTATCATAGAATTGTAGACCTTATAGAGGAGAATGGTCCTCTTAGATCTAACCCTTCTCTCTCTCAATGCAGGGTTGTACATTTTCCAACTTTCTTTCAGTCTAGCTCTAAAAGCACCAAGTAACGGTAATTTCATCACTCCTAGACAGATGATTTGCACTGCTCATCCTAATCTATATTTTCTTTCTTAATTTCATGCTATTTCAGTTAGACTCCCTCTTCTGAATAGTTCTCCCTACCTGCTGATTATATGCTTAGATATGCACATGACTTCATCTCAGTGCTCTGTGTGTATGTACATACAGACAACTGCAGGTACAGAACATTAACTGTGCAACTATTTGTCTAACATGTACAAGCACCATTGTGTATATATAAATATGGGTTTGGGTTTATTGTTCAGTTCCTCTATTGTTTGTGTGGATCCTTCCTATAGAAAACGAGGAAAGAAAGACAATTTTTAAATGTAGGAAAATGTGATGATAAAAACCACAAAAATGGGAGGGGACTTCAGGGCAGGACAGAGTTTGGTACTAGAAAAGAGTGTTTCATTAGTTGAATAGATTTCATGATGATGGTTGCTGTTTAGAGCTTGAGCCTAGAGAGGTGGTAAGAACTATGACCCTAAGCAGAAAAGTGCTCATAAAAAGCAAGAACTGAAGCATATGCTTGCGTGTATTTATAAGAGTAGTAACATTGTTAAGCATGACTACTTGCAGATGCGGGTGGGGGGGAGGCAGAAGAAAATGGCGCTTTATTTTAAACTCAGTATGCTCCCACGCCAAGCCTAGCACATGCCCAGAAGAGTCAGTTCCTTAGATGCACCCACCTTTCCCAACGTCTGTAGAGATTGGGCACTTTAGTGGGGTGCTTTTTGGCACTTTTATCTAATAGCTGCTTGAATCAACTTTAGCTAAAAGCCCCACTGAAGCTCCTGATCTCTCTAGACACTGAGAGCTGGATCAAAGTAACATGCTGCTGCTTGCAGTAGAGTGCATTTTTTTCCACATCTATCAGTGCCCCATGATCCTAAATGTTGGATCAGTCTGACCTCTTAATGCCTTTCAGGACTTAGTCCTTTAACATGATTGTTTTGTTGGAGTTACAAACATAATAAATGACAGCTCTGTCTGTATGCATGGCTTCCTGTGGTGCTTAGAACTTGAATTCAGAGTCTACATTCTGGACATGAATCAACTGCAAGTTCTGTACATGCTAGCTCTCTGTACTGTCTGAGTACTGCTCTTATAGCATCAACTGCTTTATTTTAATATTTCTCCACAGCATGCTATGTAGCCTGTCTCCTCCTGAATCCTGGTCAACTCTTAGGAGTGAACAGTACATACGGTCTTGGAAAAGGATGCAAATGTTGTAGCTTGACTGATTGTAGTCCTGATAAGGATTCTTAGACGAAAGTAATGATGAATCCTGTACATAAACTCCCAAGGGGTGAGAATAGAAGAGTCTCCCTGTAAAAAGAAAATTCCCAAATTCCCTATAGTTAATATAGCATAGTAATTTAGAATAAATTCTTAGAAGTTCTACCAGCCTCTGAAAAGCAGTGTAGAGGCCAGACTGGAATATTGACATCTAACAAGTTAAAATCAATCGTGTCTGTGCACTCGTGTTGATCATAATGCAGATATAGTAATTTCCTTCCTTTTAACATAAGTACAGAGAAAATTAACTCTGGTAATCCATGTTAATAATATATTTTTATCATTATGTTATGGGCAGAGTGTTGCTATTATATTCTGTGGACAGCTCAATAATACCTTCCTACTCCTATAATAATTAATAGATTATTCTACTGGTGTTCTGTGGTATCCTTATTCTTAGACTACTTAGTCTTTAATTATTTATTTTTCAGAAGAAGAAAAGGTTGCTTTTGTTAACTGGATAAATAAAGCTCTGCGAGATGACCCAGACTGTAAGCATCTCCTTCCCATGAATCCATCAGATGAAAGTCTTTTTAAATCACTTGCAGATGGTATCCTACTTTGGTGAGTCTAAAGCTAAGAAAAAGCTGAGAAATTTGTTCTCTGAAAGTCATGTCTTGATTACATTTAAATACATAGAAGTTTTCAGTAATACCAAGATTTGTACTTTAATTAATACCTTGATCAACCCCTAGAACTGGAGAAAATCCCCTTCTTATACATCCTTCTTTAGCATAATTTTTTTAAGTATCCTTGTGGCCTCATGCCTGCCACAAGGTTATAAACTTACCTGGAGTTGGGGAGTGACCAGAGCTGGCGGGACGCCGCACTGAGCCAGGAGTGAACCAGAAGTGGAGCTGTGGCAGGAAAAAATGCTGCAGCAGAAGAAAAGAAAAAAAAAACCCCAGTGGGTCCAGAAGGAGCTGGGACCAGCTTCTACACCAGCATGGGCATGTTTTATGGCAGCGTGCCAGCACTGATTTGCCGACCACTTGGAACCGGGATAAAAAGCTCAGCAGAGGGCGAATAAGGGGGACCAGAAAAGGGTTCCCCAGTGGGTCCAGAAAGGCCCAGAGTAGAGCCTCATGGAGGAGAAGTGGTGGCTGCCCCAGGAAGGGGCCTCTGAAAATGAGTTGAGCCCAGGAGGGCTGACAGAGTTACCTGAAATGACGTTGTGGACTCCAGACATCTCCGGACAATATTGGACTGAGCGGGAACCTGAAGAGAAAAGGGGAGATGGACGTCCAAACTGTGGCAAGTACAGACTGAAGAGAGAGCAAGATACGCCAGGGAGCGAGGTAACCCAAGGTCAGGAAAGAATCTAGGCAAGATCCAATATGGCCTTAGGGAACTCGGATGAGGCAACATCTGACTAATACGACCCAACAGACCAAGGTATAAGAACCTATACCAAAACAGACCTAGGAGACTGGGAAACAACATCCGTGGTCGGTGTTAGGTGAGGGGTAGGGGAGGCGGAGCCCCAATGGGAAAACGGACAAGAAGATTGAAGGAAGGTACCAGGAAAGGCAGGACAAACCATCTTCCTCCCAACTAAACGAATTTATTCCTGCAAGACATGTCAGGAAAGAACCCCTGAGGACCTTCCAGAGTCTATCCCAGCAACAACCTGTCCTCTCTCCAAGCGACGGCAAAGCCAGAAAAACCCATACATAAAAGATGCACCAGTGAATGACACGAAGAATTACAAATGTATTTAAAGAATTTTTCTGTGTTAATTTTAATGTTGAGCAGGTATATGTGTGTGTGAAGAATGACTAGCTGAAGGCTTTTTCATGTCAGACTCTTTAAATTATCCCTTCATGAGTGCACATGACATTATGTAATCCAATATACTGATTAAAAGGAATAATTAGAAGTCTTTTGAGAAGTATTGTGTAGGGGTCAAATCCCAGGGCTGGAACATAGAAGGTCTGAGTTCTGTTCTTAGTTGCACCACAAACTTATATTGTGCCCACAAACTTATATTGTGCCCTTTCTCTCTCTCTCTCTCTCTCTCTCTCTCCCTCTCTGCTGCGGTTTCCCAGGATATTGAGAACTTAATACATTATAATACATTATTACTGATTGGATACAGACTTTCAACCTTTTAGAGCAGGGGTTTTCAATCTTTTTTAATAAGTGTACCCCTGGCAGCTAGACATGGAGCTGTGGGGGTGGGGGAGGGTGGCGGTGATTGCATGCAGAGAGGCAGCAGCATGGGGTGGTGGGTGGCAAGGCCTCATGTGAGCTTCCTCCCCTGCCATATCTGACTGGCCAGGCAGCACCTGTGCAGCCTGCAGAGGGGCTCCGTTGCCCTCATGCCCTCCCCGGCCCTGCTCCTGGGAGGCAGCGGCACAGGGTGGTGGGTGTTGGTGTTCCATCCCCACCCACCTGTGCATACTCCCGAGGTTGACAACCCCTTTTTAGAGGCAAGAATTTTAGAAACAAGGCATTACAGAAGTGTGCTGTGTTAGTTACAAGTTGTATGTTTTTGATAATAGAAAGTCTGTCCTTCTGAATACATTTAATTTATGGTTGGCTGTGTTTTCCTGAGAGATGCGCTAACAACGCAGAGTTTTCCCTAAGCATAAACCTGACTGCTCCACTTTTTTGTATCTATGGAGACTCAATGATTCCTTGTTGAAATTTTTTTGAGTGGAAAAAGAGAGAAGATTTCCATAGTGTTGTAAATATTTAAAATAACATTTCAAGATTTACCACAAAAATAGTAATGTTTTGGTTTCTCAAAAAATTGAATTCCTTAATTTCTTCCCCAGCAAAATGATTAACTTATCACAACCAGATACAATTGATGAAAGGGTTATTAACAAGAAGAAACTCACTCCTTTTACTGTTTCTGTAAGTATTGCACCTTTTCTGTCATAAATATTACAGTAGACTCTGCCTACAGCTTTTTTTACTGAGAATTTTGTTATGGACTTAAAATAGGAGGAGAATCAAGCTTTATACACAGATTTAAAGGGTCTGATGCATGGAGTAGCTTGACATGCATTGCCTGGGTGCTGTGGGGAAACATTCTTTCAAACTTCACAAGCCCTTGAAGAAATGCAGAGAGCTTGCATCCTTTCTCTCAGATCTCTTTTATGTTTTCATTTGTTGTGGCTGACCTGCTCTGTTTTCCTGGTATTTAGAAGTATCTGAGCAATAGAGGTTTAATGGAGTGGTTGACGAGGACAAGCCATATCTTAGAGATGTTATGCAAAAAGAATATGTAAGTTTTAGCCATAGTCTGGATGTGAGGACTAAGTGTTAAAGATGATTTCCAAGCTGCTGCCCTGGGTAACAGGCAGGGAAGTGTATTTTCCACAGTAAATGAAAGTAGTGGAGAGACCTATGAAAAAAAACCTAAAAGTTTTATTGAGTCTGAGCTAATGACTAAGCATTCACACAAGAACTTTGGGAAGATGATATTTTAGTTTGGAGAGAGGCGGAAAGATTTGAAATAAACAGGTAAATTTGTGAGGCTTCAGCATAATGAGGGGGAAAAAATCAGTTAAAACCTGGAAGGAAAAAAAACTGACCTTTAATTGAACGTGATATGTAAGGAAGCTACAGATATATTATTAGGCTCTAAATTCCTCTCCAAAAGTGTTTTATAATCTCTACCTGTTTAACAAAGACTGTGCCAGCAAAGATGCTAGTATATATACTTATGCTCTCTCTATGGCTATGGCATACTTATCAGAGCTAGAATGTATTTGTTTTCACAAACTTTTGCTGCTTTAATAGCAGTTGTCTTTTTAGTGTCACCATGTGGTCCTGCTGCAGTCTTGATGCTGTCTTTGTAATTTCCATATACTGGATGCAGTAAGCAGATCAGCATGAGTTCACGCACTTCAGACATGTTCCTATACATGCGGACATACTTTGGCCCAAATTAAGTGGTATTGCAAGCAGTAGCATTCTGCAGAGAGCAAGGGCCCACTCAAGCAGTTCTATCTATAAGATGAGGCTCGGAAAATCTCACAAAAAACAGATGTCTGCTTTGTGCCACCGTAAAAATTTTTAGGGTGGCACAGAAGCAGAGTGAACAGACGTCATGCCCTTTATTGCTCCATAAGTGCTTAAATGTTGTGATGACAATTGGGCACTCTGGGCAAATGCCCCTGCAGGAAATTAGATTTAATTCAATTTATTAAGGATTCTGGCTGAAAGCCATGCTCCCAAAAGGAACATGATGATGTAAATTTAAATGAAAATCTAGGAAATCTGGTCATCTCACCTGACGGTAAAGCTGACACATTCAACAATTTATTTGCCTCTGTATTTCTGAAGAGGGACCCGGATATCTCCCCCACTGGCCCCCCCCCAAGGGCCCTGTGGGTGGCACACCCAGGCCTAGGGTTAATGAGGACCTTGTCAGGGAACTTCTGGAGGGACTAGATGTATTTAAATCCACAGGTCCTGATGATCTCCACCCCAGAGTGCTGAAGGAACTAGCAGGGGTCATTGCAGGACCTCTGGCACAGCTCTGTGAGCACTCATGGCGCTCGGGCGATGTGCCGGAGGACTGGAAAAGGGCCAATGTGGTCCCCATCTTCAAAAAAGGGAGGGAGGAGGACCCAGGAATCTATAGGCCCGTGAGTCTTACCTCGGTCCTGGGGAAGCTTTTCGAAAGAATTATCCTGGCACATGTCCAGGAAGGGCCAGCAGGGGAGGCTATGCTCAGGGGCAACCAGCATGGGTTTATTAGGGGCAGGTCTTGTCAAACCAACCTGGTGGCCTTCTACAACCAGGTCACCAAGTCCTTGGATGCAGGTGTCGCAGTGGATATAGTCTTTCTGGACTTCAGGAAGGCCTTCAACACGGTCTCTCACCCCATTCTCAGTAAGAAAC